TAGGAGTTCTTAATATGGATAGATTCATATTCGAGTTTAGTTTTCAATGGAATAAACGGAATTGAATTCCAGTGTGTATATCAATACAAAATATTGATTCTTTAAAGGTAGTACGAGTTGTCTGAATATGGAAAATTGTTGTGTAAGTGTTGTATAATTGATGTACTATGCTGGAATTATTAGTATTAAGAAGTTAAGTGGTAAAATGGTGAAGGACCGTTTTGGATGAATTGGAAAAATTGGTTCCAATGTAAAAAGAATTATTAAGAGTTAAGTATTTTGATAGATAATGAGTATCAAAAATATATTATGGAGTTATTTTTAGGATATGTTTATGTTAGTACAATACTAACATATGTATCATTATGAATTTGTGATTTATACAGATTATGATTGATTTGTGATTGAAGCAAGTCAAGTATAAAAAGGGTTTATTGTGAAACACAGTGAGGCACAAATATTTGAAAAAATTATAAAGTGTCAAAGTGAGTGCAATACATGCATGAAATTATACATGGATGTTTTATACATCATCAGGAAGACTTGCGATAAGTCGACCTTGTTTTATCAACATGATATTATATCATATTTGTATAAACTGACATGACATTGATATGTCAGAGTATGAAATTATAATGCATTGATTTTGGAAAATGTGATATTTTACCATGAATGTTATTTAGGATATGAACTTCCCAATGTTAAATATTGATAATATATTGTGCCATGGATGGATCAAATATAATAGATAGTAAGCCCAAGTAAGTCATTGAGGGACAGGGTATAGTTGGCATACCATAGAGTCTAGTAGCAGGCTGCATATTCGGGAATACACTAAAGGATACCTAGTGTATATGGTGGGAACAACCTTATGTGTCATATTCGGTTTTATAATAAAATTATGCATGAATTGTATTGCACTGTAAAATGTTTTAATTGCCTCACTAAGTTTATACTTAGTGTGTTATATTTTCACGCATAGGTAAAAAGCCAATAGCGGATTAAAGAGTTCAAAGTGGCATCAAGCATCGAGAGGTATATTTCAATATCAGTAAGACATCCTACGATGGAATTTGATTTTAGATAGTGGCATGTAATTTGAAAATGTTCAATTTAGTTGTTGAATAAATTTTGGAATTTTTTATAGTGATGAAAGGTTAATTTTTATGAATTTATATGTATTTTCAGAAGTTACTGTAGCAGTTAATGTAGCGTATCGATGCACTATAGTAGTTACTGTAGCGTATCGATGCATAATATTAATTTGATGTTTTGATGCATCGATGCACTGTTCATGTTACTGTAGTGTATCGATTCACTTTTCACGGTATTGTTCATCACTATTCACAAAAAAATCTTTTGAATTTAATTTGCTATAACAAATATAAATTATATTCTATGATATTTTTATAATATCAATTACCATTTTAAGGAAATAAATTTTAAATCGTTTTTGAAAAGAAAATGGTTTTAAAATTCGGGTGACATCTATAATCTGTATAGGTATAATTATACGGGTTATGAGTGTTACAGTTTTACAAATGAGTCAATGTTTTTTTAAATTTATGTGCCACCTATGCCTTGTGTACCGAAACATATACGGGAAATGGGTGTTACACTCTCTCCATTCGTTTTGGTTTCATGCAAAGCTTCATTTTTTTATTTCATTCTTTCTTCTTTTTCGATACTGAAAATAAAATAAAAAAGTACAATGAATCATTTCTGTTTTTTTGTATTGATTGTATTGCCTTTTTTAAAAAAAATTGAGAGGGGATAACCCCTTTTCTTTTTTACATAGTTCATGTTTTATAACCCTCGACATTACATCTTTTTTTCATGATTATATAGTTGCCTTGCATGTTGCTGGGTGACTTGCTAACTTGGGTTAACTTGATGTGGCAGGAGACTGATGGGTGATTGGTGGAAGTGGAGGTGGTTGGGGACTGGTGCAACAAGGCGGTGGTAGGTGATTGACGGAGATGGTGATGGCAGGCTCCTCATCTGGTGTGATCGTGGCCGTTGGATCTCTCCCAGATCCAACAGTTATGATGGTGCGACTGGAGCTGACTAATGGTGAAAACCCTAACGGGTTTGGGCTTCATCTGGGCCAAGTTGAAAAGGGTTATGGGCTTATTTTGTTGGGCTCCGGGTTTGGTCGGTTGGGTTTGTTGTAATTTAGGGCCCAATTTTGGGTTGGTTGTATAGGCATGCACAAAAAAATAATAATAATAATAATAGCGGGACGAAAACGGGTTTTGACACATAAAATTATCTTTGTTATTGCCTTTGAATATTTCTCTAAACTCTTTACCTAATCAAACAAGCCAAGTATGAATTATTAACACCTATAGGAACTCAAATGAAGAAAACAAACTTGGAAAGCTTAAAACGTATCCAAAATAACTAGGTGAGCTCAAGGGGTCAAAATCCACCTTAAACTCTTCATAAACCCCTTTTCTAACCACCCCACTTCTATAGAAGATATTAAGTTCAATCTTGAGATTTAAGGTGATGATTATCACAATTATCTTTATAATTTCAGACTAGATTTGTAATACACGAAAGTTTGTTCCTTTGTTGCACTATCAACTTGAAAGAAGAGAGAGATATGAAGAGAAGAAAACAAGGAGGTGAGAAGATAAGAAAAGGGAGTGCTCAGCCTTTTTTTCTTGATTTTTCATCGGGTGACATGGAAAATTGAATGATATTTAACCTTTTTATTCTCTAATGGTCTAATTACTTGTTTGGTCCCTCTTCCTCTGTTCTCAAATGAAAACCACTTTTTTATGACCATTTAGGGCCAATTCTAAATAGATTAGGCCTAAACTTGATCCAACTACTCTAGTTACTTAATCATAACAGTCCATAGACCCCTCGGGTCAACACTTATTCATTAGCTCAGAAATTCAAGGTGTTACAGATGATTTACAATATAGATGTTCAACCAGAGAGACAGCAAGAGAGTAAGGGAGTCTCCTTCTCCATCTTTGCATGATGACTTAAATATAAATTCTTAGTATTGATGTGACGTTTTGGGTGATAATAGTTATTTTTAGGTTGACAAACTAAATAAACTTGATAGTTAGATAATAGATTTAGCTTATCGCGTAGATTTGTCAGTTATTATGTGAATAATTTATAGCTGATCGAATAACAAGAAACTTTGAAAGTTTTGAAGAACTTCGAAAACATTTATAGACAAAAAAAAAAAATGATAGTGAAGGAGGTCCCAAAGAGCTACAACAAATCATTAATAGTGTAGTTAAAAAATCATGATGTTGAAACTGGCCAAGTCCAGCTTACATTAACTAGCACTCGATGGAAGGAACAAGTTGCCGGTGTGCCAGCTATAAAGAAAGGTCAAATCAGAACGTTCTTCCTCCACTTTCTTTCCACCATGTACTCACATGGGGACTGTGTACAAGCTGCCATCAAATTCAATTTTATACCATTAATTTATTTCTTAAATGTTTGATGCAAAAATAAGTTTTCAAATTATATATAAAGTTAATTTTTGGTGTATAATTTTTTTTTTGTTAAAAATATGTGTCTGATATTTTTTCTGTTATACTTTTAGGTACTTACTATTAAAAAAATTATTAAGTTACGTTCATCTTTCTAAAAAATATTTTAAAAAATATTTTATTTTCAATAAAAAAAAATAAACATAACAAATACTTAAAAGTATAACAGATAAAACGTTAAATATATATCTTTAACAAAAAAAAAATTTGACAAAAAAATTAACTTTAAGTATAATTTATACATTTATTTTTGTATTAATCCTTTCTTAAATAATCATGACTCCATAACACGACAGTCTCTTATTGTACTTCCAAGTGAAGATAAAAATCAATGAAGATATATGGTTTTTTTTATGTAAAGAATCCTTAATGAAGGGTGAAGGGCTTTGTGTAGGTGGGTCAGATTTTGGTGGTGTTATTCTTTAATCTCACTCAATTTTTTTTTCTGGGCCACCAAAACAAAGCTTTCATTATGTGTGGATTGCTGTGGTATAATCCACGTGATGCTAACTTAGCTTCACATTAATTGCAATCTAAGATATGCCCAAGAAAATTCCAGGAAAGTTCCTCTTGCCTTCATTTCAAGTCTGCGTTTGTTCTTCAATGGCGCTCACTATTTCTGACCTTTCTCTGGCTGTATCTCAATTTGACTTTAGACCATGCCACATGCAATGAATTTGTCGTAAATTTAATTCAACGGAGGGAAACATGAAAAACAATAATAAAAAATCAGGAGTTAAATTGAAATTTATTAAATAATTTTAGTGATAAATAAGAATAGTATTTTATCTAGAGATTATGGATTTCAACATTTACGTATTTTCATATATCAAGAAAATTTTAAATAAATATTATTTAATAATCACTTTAAACTAGACTATTTAAAAAAACCCAATGGTAGTTAATTTGCATGTTGAAACAGATACCAAAGAATTTTCGAGGAACTACGTCGGTAGAATATGTATGTATTATCAAATGATTAAGGAAGTTCTAAATAGATATTACATTATAATCATCTCAGACTACTATTAAAAAAATCAGGGGTCAAATTGCATCTTGAAACTAAAATCACGGACAAAAGGAATATTAACCCTAGAAAATTATTCATATAGTTAATCTCATTTTCTTAGATTTTCTTCCCCTTTTGTTGGTAAGCTGCACTTTTCTTAACAGAAATTGAAGATTTACCGTCTGCAACATATAATAGATTTCTTACCATAACTAATTCAAGAGAAACCTCAATTTGTGTATGTGGTAGTAAATTGACATCAAACTGAAATGAATTTCTTACCTCAGGGATAAATATAGAGAGGGAGCTGGTATTTATTTTCACTCCACAGATATTTATTCGTTATCTCAAAAACAAAAATATTCTTAACCTCCCTATTTTAACTACTAATTACACACACAATCCTTAATAAATCCATCTCTCCCAAAGTCCTGTTCTTTATAAACCAATAAACAACCAAATCTTCATCTTCCCCTCTTTGTTAACAGAGCCATTGACAGAGCTGCGTGTTTGTAAACCAAAACAGAAACAAACCCATCATTTCAAGATTCTCATTTTCATCATCAAAATAAGACAGACGTAGCCAAAGTCACTGAAAGCTCCATTGCCGCCGCCGTTACCCATTCCCGCCCAGAAAATAAGAACTTTTATAAAGAACTTCCCTTTAGCAGGAATATCCATTTTTTCCAAACCCTAACCCTGAAAATTCAGGAGGAAGAGATTTTCTTTTTGGTTCCAAATTCTGGGTTTCATTAATGTTAGAGAAAATGTATCATTTTGACAACATTCCATAAACGCCCGGGAAATTCAAGATGGAAAGATCGCCCTACTTTCACAATAGATTGATGAGGTGGCACTCCTCTCTTGCAAAGCTCACGTTTTGGTCCTTTATGTTCTTGGGATTGATCTTGATCTTCTTCTTTCGATCTCCTTCCTTCAATCCCCTTCCGCAAGATCCTTCTCGCCGCTCTCTCCGTACCTACAACTGGGGTGGACCCGCTTGGGAAAAACGGGTCCGTTCATCTGCCCGTATTCGTTCTCCCAACGGCATCTCCGTTTTGGTCACCGGAGCCGCCGGTTTCGTCGGTACCCACGTGTCGGCTGCTTTGAAAAGGCGCGGAGACGGCGTTATTGGACTTGATAATTTCAATGACTACTATGACCCTTCGTTGAAAAGGGCTAGGCAAGCTCTTCTGGAACGAAGTGGGGTTTTCATTGTCGAAGGAGACATCAATGATTCGACTCTTTTAAGGAAACTTTTCGAGGTTGTCGCATTTACCCACCTTATGCATTTAGCTGCTCAAGCAGGCGTCAGGTATGCAATGCAAAATCCTGGCTCTTATGTGCACAGCAATATTGCTGGTTTCGTTAGTTTACTCGAAATTTGCAAATCGGCGAATCCTCAGCCGGCGATCGTGTGGGCGTCGTCGAGTTCGGTTTACGGTCTTAATACTAGGGTCCCATTCTCTGAGAGAGATAGAACTGATCAACCTGCTAGTTTATATGCTGCTACTAAGAAAGCTGGTGAAGAAATTGCTCATACTTATAATCATATATACGGACTTTCATTAACAGGTTTGAGGTTTTTCACCGTTTACGGTCCTTGGGGTAGGCCGGATATGGCATACTTCTTTTTCACTAGGGATATACTGAAGGGGAAGTCGATATCGATATTCGAGGCATCGAATCATGGTACGGTGGCTAGGGATTTTACCTACATTGATGATATTGTCAAAGGGTGTTTAGGTGCCTTGGATACTGCTGAGAAGAGTACCGGTAGCGGAGGGAAGAAGAAGAGTCCGGCTCAATTGAGGGTATACAATTTGGGGAACACTTTCCCTGTTCCGGTTTCAGATTTGGTGAGTATTTTGGAGAGGCTTTTGAAGGTGAATGCGAAGAGGAAGATTATGAAGTTGCCTCGGAACGGGGATGTTCAGTTCACTCATGCCAACATTAGCTTGGCTCGGAGGGAGCTCGGGTATAAGCCGAAAACTGATTTGCAGGGTGGGTTGAAGAAGTTTGTGAGGTGGTATCTGAGTTACTATTCTGGTGGGAAGAAAGCTGCTGGATAAATTTATTCTTTGAATTTGTGGTAGAATTCTTGTTCATTATCATATTCTTAGGTCATTGTTTTTAGCATCTCTCTGTTCATTGCCGGATTATTGTTATTTCTTGTATCTTTGGTGAAGCCATTTAAGGAGGGATATTATGCCCTAGTTTGAAGAAGTTTTGAGATGATTAGAGGTATCAATAGTACACCAGAACAAATTTCTCTTTTCTTTCTTGTGGGATGTAATGGTTAGTTTTTTTTTTTTTTTTGGCATTGTAGTAGAATTCATGACTGATTGGTCATTGCTATGCAATTCCAGTAAAATAGCACACCAGAATGTGTTCTTTCATTCCTTTGTAGATTAACTGACAAGTTGATGTGCTCCTTTGGTCTATCTTGGATAAACTATTAGCCTATTAGCCTATACTTGTTAGAGGTGTTCACAGTCGGTTTGGATCGGTTTTTGGCTAAAATTTCATCCGATTCGAATGTATAAATGTTTGCGTTTTGGATTGGTTTGAATGTTTCTAAAAAAAAAATCCGATCTGATCCGATCTAATTAAGTGCGGCTTGATTCAGTTTGAATTTGTGTGATTTTTGGATTCTAATTTTTCAAAATAATTCTTGAATTTTTTTCATAAAAAAACAATATATGTGTAACAAAAGCAAAAAGAATATATATTTTAACAAATATAAACTTGTGAAGCTTACACAAAGAATATATATTTTAACAAATATAGACTAATATATGAACTTATCAATCATTCTAAACTTTTGAATGGGAAAGGTCATTGAACTAAATATTTATTCTGCATGTTTTCAAGATTTGTCGTAATATTAAGGTCGAAATTAAATTAATAAGCAGGTATTGTACTCAAGAGAATCCCATAACACTTGTTGAGAATTTGACATGGCAGGGAGATAGACATTTATTGTAAGAGACTATCGGTTCGATTCGGTTTGGATCGATTTCGGATTTTTAAACTGAAACCGAATCGAACCGAACTGAACCGATCGATTTTAAAAAAAAACGAACATACTAATTCGGTTTCGATTTTTTTCGGTTATCGATTTTTTAGATTAATTTTTATTTTTTTTTTATCAAATTAGATATCATCGTCTCTAAACTAAACACCATCAATGCCTCTGTCTTGGCATATATGGAGTTGTCTTTGCTTGTCTATGTGCAAAATCAAGATTGATTCTTTTTGGAGTCCTAAGTAAGGGAGAGTATTTGAATGAGTCAAGTTAATAAATTTTTAGTCGAATTGATGAGTCATTTTATAATTCAATTTTTTTTTTGAAATTTTGAGTTGAATTTATGAAATTTGAATTAAGTGGAAGTGTTCGAATTTCTATTTAAATCTTTTGTAATACATCACAATGTTGTACATGCCTTTTAAACTATGCTTTAATTTTCGGCCATTAAAAATAGTTCTATCCTATGATATGTAGTTTGAATGCTAGAATGGCCTTCTTGAGAGGAGCCATGAAGCCTGTATAAAAATTACTTCCTTAATTCTCCTTGACTCCCCCCCCCCCCCCCCATAAACTCTTCCCGTGAACCTGAGTACTACTTTAAAATAAATTCATTTAGATGTGATTATTTTATGTGCAAACTCATCATTTTCAATCTTGATATGATAGCTGTTACAATCAACTGTAGTAATCCAGACTCCTATTCATATTGTCTAAATAAGATATCGACCATCATATTGCTCCTTCCTCATCTATATTCCCTAAAAGTTTAATCAACCCTTTTTTTCCCCTAGATAATTGCAGTTCTAACAAGTACTTACGGAGCACATGATTAGTTTTAAAGAAAGTACCTTTATTTGGAGACACAAATATTCTCTTTCATAGACAGGGAGATCACTACTGAGACAAGGCCCAAAAGTCTTAAGTCGCTGATCTTCCTTTTTTAGATAAAATAAAACCATTTCCCCTTGAACTGACAAAATTAGTACCGCTGCTTGACACAAAACTTCCTTATACTTGTTAACTGCTTCTTTGGCTTTTGGTCTCCTACAAAAACTCTTTTTTAAGCATGTGAACGAGAGGTCTACTGATTTTCCAATAGTTTATAATGATATTTTTGTAATACCCTGTCAAGTCCAGAAATAGACAAATTTACCCAAAAATTTGAAAATGTGGTATTCTATTGAGTTAATCGATCGGATGAAATATCCAAGAGGGGGTGAATTGGCAAATAAAATTTTGGTGGAAGCTTGACAGAAAATAAAAAAATATTTGCACATAGAGTGGTTCGACTTTCTCAACTAAAGTCTATGTCTACTACCTTAGCTATTCACACTAAGGATTTTTCAGAAATTCAGTCATTTGTCTTTCTTTTGAGGTCAAAGAGTAACCTTACAACTCCCTCAAGAATTATAACACAAATTCTTGAGACACTATCTCTGAAAGAGAAAATTACAAATTTCGCAAACTTAGAAGAAAAACCTCACAAGGTAAGATTGTTTGCACAATTCTAGAACAAAGAAAGAACACTAAAAAATAAATACGATTGAGCACAAATTGTGTTCTTGAAAACAAAATGAATGAATACGATTGAGCACAAATTGTGTTCTTGAAAGCAAAATGAATATTGAATGGATGTTAGCTTAAATTGCTCAAACTTGTTGTTTAAAACTTTCTCTTTTGTTTCTCTAGCTTCTCTTTTATCACCAAGAGCTTCAAGACTTGTTTAAATACACCTCTGATCAATTCTAGACGTTGGGGATGATCATTGAGTCAATAGAGCCGCTGTAGTGTGAAATCCATTTGAAAATTCTGCTGGGAGCATATGGGTATCGGTACTCCTTCATAGGGGTATCTATACTACCTGTATAAAATTCAAATATTTTGACCGTTGCAAATCAACGGTATCAATACCTCTCATGGTATCGGTACCCATTTTTCATTCGATGTTTGTTTCGGAGTCAAAATTAAATAAGTAGTATCGATACCCATAACCATGGTATCAGTACTATAATATAAGGGTACCGATACCCTTCAGGGTATCGGTACCTCTGTTGTATTCGATGTTTTGGGGGTATCGATACTGTCCAAGGAGGTATTGGTACTACCCTATTTAAAACTCAATTTTTGACTCGATTATGGTTCGAAATACTTTGTAAAAATTGTTTCAAAAATATTTTAAGAGTGAAATATAATTTTTCATTTAAGTAAGGAGTAAAATTGAAATTTGAAGACTTAGAGTAATATTTATAATATTCGAATAACTAAATTAAATATTTTATTTGAAATCGAATATAAAATCTTAAAATTCATTAATATTTTATTTGTTATATTGAAACATCAAAATGTTTTCAACAATCTCCCCCTTTTTGATATAACAAAACATTTTAGAAATTTTAAGATTTTCTTTCGAAAAATCACTTTGTAAATTTATGATTACTCCCCCTTACTATATTCTCTCTCTTTTTGTTAAATCAAAAAGACTCAATAAAATTTAAACAAAATAGCCAAAATGATGTATAGTTTAAGCTGCTAAGATCAAGCCAAGAGAAATTTTAGCCATTAGTTCACATAATCAATATTCATAAACAATATGCAATTGGGATTGGTCATAATATTTCTAATATGTAAAAGGTGCATGAACTAAAGAAATAAACATTCAATAAAGTTCAAAATAAAAATCATTCAAAATAAAACATTCAAAACACAAAATATCCAAACAACGAAATATTCAAAACACAAATCCATCAAAATGTTAAGACAATGTTTAGGTTCAAAACAGAGATCAACTAAAAGAAAACTAGCAAGAGTGGTCAATCATCCGTAGGAGGATCGGGATCGAATCGATGTGCTCTAAGGAAAGCAACATCACGAGTGAGTGCGTCGAGTCTCTCATCTACTGCATTAAATCTATTTTCAATTGCTTTGCGGTGAGCTCGAATTTCCCTTCGATTCTCCAACTGTTGAGTTCTCATAGCATTCAAATGAGACTATAAGGATGCCAACTTCAAGTCCAATATCTCCATAAAAGACTGAAAGTATGGAGGTATTGTATTGCTTTGTCTAGCTGGCTCGTCTTTAGGTTGATTTATAGGATCGTCGACATCCTGTAAAAGATCTTCAAGCTCTTGAGATGGAGCCAAAGACGGAGCAGCTCGTGATGAGCTAGCACCGGGTGTTTTCTTCGTTGAGCGAACCTAATTGTCTTTGTCACCCGTCCATCCCGATTTTTGAAGAGATGTGAAGTTTATTTCGGAGGTTAGTGGTATGCTACCTCTAGATCTACCTTAAGACCAGATTTCATAAACATATTACTAAGTAGGCAACCATAAACTAAAGTTTCTACTCGTTTTGAAGGAATATTGTTTACGGTGTCTACTAGTTCCCCAAAGATAATTTGAGAGAGATTTATTTTCTTATTATGTTGGATACAATGTATCCACCATAAGTCAAGAGCTCTAAGCGTGAAGTATTTTCCTCCGGATGGTCTAAACCACCAAGAGATGATAAGATGAAGAAAACGTTCTTGGTACTCTAAAACACTCACACTAGACTTGACTTCATAAGAAGACAATACTAAATATCTTCCATTATCTAACCCTCAGTTATCTAGTCCAAATGCACTAGCTATATAGTCCAAGTCTATATTAATGTATTTCCCCAAGAGATAGGAGCGAATACTTTCGGTCACGGTTTGAGACTCATTTTGTACACACATGGCATTTGAATAGAAAATACGAACAAGTTGCTGATAAACAACTAGTTTTATCTTAAAAAGGTTATCGAATTTCCAAGATTTGAGGGTAGGGAGGTATTTAAATTTCATTTATACCATAGCCTTAAGAGATGGGATACATTCTTCCCTAATGTTATAAGATTCAAAATGGGTAACGTACCTTTCGTAGAGATCCCTACGGTTAGGTTCGTTAAAGCAAGAGTTAAGGATGTTCATTTCGGGTTCATTAGGGATAGGATTTTCATGTGGAATAGGAGGTGGATTTTGTGGTAGGTTTGATCGACTAGATGATAACCTAGCTCATTTAGACATGGTTTAGGAAATTAGAATGGTAAGCCTACAACTCGACAACATATGTATGCAACACAATTAATCCCAAAACTCAATATGAGTCCTCAATATTCAAGGTTCTCTAACTTAGTGTCTAATGGGAAATATTGAAAACTATTTTGAAAACTAAGTTTGAAAAATCATAATATGTATAGTTTTCATGAAAATGACATAATTAGATA